TACCACCATGGAGTGATTGCACAGTTGGGTGGCAGCTGCTTGATTCAATTTAACTTATAGAATTTATTTATAGTTGTTTTTATACTAATAGCACATGTTGTTTCCTATTTTTATTTTATTTTGTTGATATTTTTTGCAGCGAGAATCCAAGTGGATTTATACCCTTATAGTAACTAAGTTTCTTGGATTGAATGAAGTTATTAGTTTCATACCTTTTTTGTAATGTCCCTTGCTGTCTTTCATTGTATTTGCGGGTATTCCTGACATATTCTAAGGATTTGTTTACATTCAAGTTTTTTCCTGCAATCAGTACCTATGATTTTCACAATGGTTTTGTGTATGGATTTTGTGCTTATTCATTATTGATCTAACCATGCTTTACTCTACATTTTTGTTCCATCATCAAATCACATTCAGCCTGCAGCAGCTCTTTGCTGTAAGGGTAAATGGGTGGCCATATGGACGCCCAAGGAAGTGCGGGTGGCCCTTGGCTATGGCTCTGTTGCTGGCCTAGCCTTGATTATGCTCATGGTGTTGGCTGGCGCCTTCTTATGCCGGGTCCATTTTTTTTTTCTCCTCCCTTTTTTTTTCTCCTCCCTTTTTGTGGTGTATCATCTGTCATACCCCATGTTGGATTTGCACTCTTTTCTTATTTTTCACCTTCAGGAGGAGATATCAATTTAGGCCTACAGCGGGGTTGTGCAATCCTCTGTATTTTCGTTTCATCTGGCCTTTCTACCAGAGGGCGTAGAGGCATTCATAACCACCCATGATCTGCCTGCTTCCATGCCTGCTATTGAGGCTTGGTTAACAACGGCTCAAGATGCACTGTGTGCAATTGTGTGACGTCACTTCGGGTGGGGGGGGTTCAGATGCCAGCGGGATGGGAGGAGTATTTAAGGTTGTCCTGTTGGTGGGCCATCTTTCACTGAAGCATCAGCAAACATTGCACCGCAAAACTTGCCTTATAAGTAATTAGTATTTGGGTTTTATTGGTCAGTTTTTTCTTTCAGTTTTCTTCCATCTCATGGAGATATTTTTAAATCCTTTTTCAGAGCAAAATACAAAACAACAATTTTTTATTGGCAATGCTGAGCATCTTTACCATGGGCCCTTCAAGGCAGTTGGAATACAGTAGGTGTGCTACAAAGTCCTATTTAGCCAGATTTTGTGATCCGGTGGTTTGTGTTTTGAGGTATGTTTAGTTTTCATTATTTAATTTATGGGCACCATCCCATTTGGAAAACTGGGCTCTGTGAGTGTTCTCTGTGACCCTAGTGCCTCTCCTGTGGCTCACTAAATACAGTACTTCCCTGGATTGTAGTCAGGTGTACGCTGAATGGGTGAGATCTTCCCTACCAATACAATTTCTTATGGACATCTTTTTTGGTTCGGGGATATGCCCTTCACCAAATTCCATATGTTGTAAATTATTGTGAATGTGTGTGTATGTATATATATATATGTATATATATACATAATGCTTTTTTCACTCTAGAGGTTTACTGTGTAGTATACAAAAATATCCTGAAGAATCCATTTGTCTGGCAAAACGTGTAGAGATGGATTGACTACATAACTAAACCATATGGAAGTGCTTTGGATTTTATACCTTTTTAATCTGACAAAATCTCTTTTATTATTTGCTATGAATAAAAGCTTTATTTTATAAATATTGTGGTTTTGGTTTCTGGAACCCTTAAAATGCCCTTTTTTTAATTCGTAAATTGTATGTACTCTTATGGGGATGTGGTACCTTTTGATTCCCACTTGTACCAGTTTCTCCTACCGGTTTATTTTCGGCTGGAGCTCTGCTTTAGAAAAATTGGTTTGGATATACATATAGAAGAAAACCAACAAACACAAAGCAATCTGAACTGTCACATACCTTTTTGATCTGAACATGATGCAAGTGCCAGCTATATACTTGGTTTACTTGGTCACTGACCCATTAAGGATGATAGCACTGGGCCCTCCACCATTAAAAAAGAAAATACGATGTTTCAGCTCACTTATGATCTTTCCTGGTATGTTCTGTTTAGCGTTTTTCCATCTTTCACAGAATATGGAAAATTCCCTAAGACATTAATGATGATAGGAAGCAATAGTTCCAGTAAGCAATTGGTGTCCTTTGGTCTGTTGCAATATGCCAATTTATTAAGTGTGGAAACAGATACCTTTACAATGTTGTTGTGTGAAATACAGCACTTGACTTCTGGACGTTACGGATGTTGTTTTGCTGCCGGTGTAGGTAGATGCAGTCTACAAACTCGATTCTAAAAAAGTTGGGACTACTCTGTGTAACGTCTACATAAAAACAGAATGCAATGATTTGCAAATCTCTTAAACCCATATTTTATTCACAATAGAAAACATAACACAAGTTTAAATTGAGAAATTGTACCATTTTAGGAAAAAAATTACTTATTTTGAAATTGAGGGCAGCAACACATCTCAAAAAAGTTGGGATAGTGCAGCAAAAAGCTGTCAAAGTACAGCCTTAATTCCAAAAGTTGGGACAGGGCCACGTTTGCCACAGTGAAGCATCCCCTATTTTTTTAACAACTCTCTGTAAACATGTGGGAATTGGAAGACTTGGCGCCCATGGTTGCTAAAAATGTCAAATTTCAATTTGTCTGATCACAAAACAGTTTTCCACTTTGCAACAGGACATTTTAAATGAGCTGTGGCCAAAGGAAGTTGGCAGCATTTCTGGATCATGTTCAGATATGACTTCTTCTTTGCATGATAGAGCTTTAATTGCATTTTTGGATGGCATGGCGAGCTGTGTTCACAAACAGTGATTTTTGGAAGTATTCCTGAGCCCATGCGGTGATGTCCATCACAGACTCATGCCTATTTTAATGCATCTGAGGGTCTGAAGATCATTGTCATCCAATATTGTGGTTCGGCCTTGTCCCTTGCATATAGAGATTTGCTTATAATAAAGTTACAAGGAAAAGACAAAGAATATAAGGCACTGAGATATACAGTCATGGCCGAAATTGTTGGCACCCTTGATATTTCTCCAGGAAATCATGTATTTCTCACGAAACGTATTGCATTAACACATGTTTTGCTATACACATGTTTATTCCCTTTGTGTGTATTGGGACAAAACAAAAAAAGGGAGGAAAGAAAGCAAATTCGACATAATGTCACACAAACCTCCAAAAATGGGCTGGACAAAAGTATTGGCACCCTTTCACAACTGCGGATAAATAAGAATGTTACAAGCATGTGATGCTCCTGTAAACTCACCTGGGGCAAGTAACAGGTGTGGGCAATATAGAAATCACACCTGAAAGCAGATAAAAAGGAGAGACGTTCACTTAACCTTTGCATTGTGTGTCTGTCTGTGCCACACTAAGCATGGACAACAGAAAGAGGAGACGAGAACTGTCTGAGGACCTGAGAACCAAAATTGTGGCAAAATATCAACAATCTCAAGGTTACAAGTCCATCTCCAGAGAACTAGATTTGCCTTTGTCCACAGTGCGCAACATTATCAAGAAGTTTGCAACCCATGGCACTGTAGCTAATCTCCCTGGTCGTGGACGGATGAGGAAAATTGATGAAAGATTGCAACGCAGAATAGTCCGGATGGTGGATAAGCAGCCCCAAACATGTTCCAAAGACATTCAAGCTGTCCTGCAGGCTCAGGGAGCATCAGTGTCAGCGCGAACTATCCGTCGACATTTAAATGAAATGAAACGCTATGGCAGGAGACCCAGGAGGACCCCACTGCTGACACAGAGACATAAAAAAGCAAGACTACAGTTTGCCAAAATGTACTTGAGTAAGCCAAAAGCCTTCTGGGGAAAACGTCTTGTGGACAGATGAGACCAAGATAGAGCTTTTCGGTAAAGCACATCATTCTACTGTTTACCGAAAACGGAATGAGGCCTACAAAGAACAAAACACAGTACCTACGGTAAAATATGGTGGAGGTTCAATGATGTTTTGGGGTTGTTTTGCTGCCTCTGGCACTGGGTGCCTTGACTGTGTGCAAGGCATCATGAAATCTGAGGATTACCAAAGGATTTTGGGTCGCACTGTAGGGCCCAGTGTCAGAAAGCTGGGTTTGCGTCCAAGATCCTGGGTCTTCCAGCAGGACAATGACCCCAAACATACGTCAAAAAGCACTCAGAAATGGATGGCAAAGAAGCGCTGGAGAGTTCTGAAGTGGCCAGCAATGAGCCCAGATCTAAATCCCATTGAACACCTGTGGAGAGATCTTAAAATTGCTGTTGGGAAAAGGTGTCCTTCCAATAAGAGAGACCTGGAGCTGTTTGCAAAGGAAGAGTGGTCCAAAATTCCGGGTGAGAGGTGTCAGAAGCTTATTGATGGTTATAGGAAGCGACTGATTTCAGTTATGTTTTCCAAAGGGTGTGCAACCAAATATTAAGTTAAGGGTGCCAATACTTTTGTCCAGCCCATTTTTGGGGTTTTGTGTGACATTATGTCATATTTGCTTTTCTGCCTCTGTTTTATATTTGTTCCAATACATACAAAGGGAATAAACATGTGTATAGCAAAACATGTGTTAATGCAATACCTTTTTTGTGTGAAATACTTGATTTTCAGGAAAAATATCAAGGGTGCCAACAATTTCGGCCATGACTGTATATGCAATCATTACCATATCAGCAGAAGTACATTGTAAATGCTGATATAGAAAACCTAACAAAAGAAACGTGTGGAAACACTCCACGGGGTAAAAACAATCAAACCTAACTATCCCATTGGGTGTGTAGGGAAGCAATGAGAATATATACAAATCTATAGGTGTAAACCTATTGGATACTCACATACCTAGGTTATGAAGGTCTGTAAACAATATACATAAGGAGAGGGTCATTGGCATACAAGGTCATGAGGTGCTTCGCTTTCAAATATACACTATATTGCCAAAAGTATTGGGACACCCCTCCAAATTATTGGATTCAGGTGTAACAATTATGTCCGTGGCCACGGTGTATAAATTCAAGCACCTAGGCATGCAGACTGCTTCTACAAACATTTGTGAAATAATGGGTTGCTCTCAGGAGCTCAGTGAATTCAAGAGTGGTACCTGTGCAATAAGTCTATCAGTGACATTTCCTTGCACCTAAATATTCCACGGTCAACTTTTAGTGGTATTATAACAAAGTGGAAGCAACTGGGAACAACAGAAACTCAGCCACGAAGTGGTAGGCCACGTAAAATGACAGTGCACTGTGCGCAGAAATCGCCAACTGTCTGCAGAGTCAAAAGCTAAAGACCTCCAAACTTTGTGTGCCTTCAGATTAGCACAACAACAGTACATAGACAACTTCATGGAATGGGTTTCCATGGCCAAGCAGCTGCATCCAAGCCTTACATCACCAAGTGCAATGCAAAGCAATGGTGTAAAGCATTAGGCCACTGGACTCTAGAGCAGTGGAGACGTGTTCTCTGGAGTGACAAATCGCACTTCTCTGTCTGGCAAGTTTGGTGGAGAGCGGATTATGGTGTGGGGTTGTTTTTCAGGGGTTGGGCTTGACCCTCTAGTTCCAGTGAAGTGAACTGACAGGCGTCAGCATATCAAGACATTTTTGGACAATTTCATGCTCCCAACTTTGTAGGAACAGTTTGAGGATGGCCCCTTCCTGTTCCAACATGACTGCGCACCAGTGCACAAAGCAAGCTCCATAAAAACATGAATGAGCACATTTGGGGTCGAGGAACTTGACTGGCCTGCACGGAGTCCTAACCTCAACCCAATAGAACACCTTTGGGATGAATTAGAGCAGAGTCTGCTTGTCTGGGTGAGAGATAGAGGGGGGTGAGAGACATGGATGGGGGGGTGAGAGAGGGGGAGGATGAGAAACTCCTAGCCCTGTCTGCAGTTCCTCCTGTGCCTCCCTATCCCAGTCTGCCAGTAGGTGTGTCTGATGCTTGGTACCTGGCATGCTAGCAATGGGAAGGGTCTGTTTTTTTTTTATTCTGGGTGATTGGCTCCTTTGCTCTGTGGTCCCCGACTATCTGCACTTCCACCTGTGCTTGTCCTCCAGGCCCCTGGTCAGCTTGTCCTCGAGGCAGGTGTTGCTGCTGTTGTCGAAAGGTTGAAGGAGTGCATGCTCTGGGAGTTGCTGCGCCACAGATGCTGCGCCCACTGCTGCTCTCCTTTCCAGGAGTCTGGGAGATGGTGGAGGTCTTCTCCCTCACAGGCTCTCAATCCTAGCTGCCCTCGATGCTCGCCTTCCCCCTGCTCCTGCTGCCACCAGGACCGGTACCCTCCAAGGTCAGGGGCTCAAGGGGCATCTGCCTTGGGCCCCACAACAATGACAGGCCTTGGGGCAGTTGCCTATTTTGCCCTGCGTTATAGTACAGCTTCTATGTGGGGTCGTCTTTAACTTCCATGAACAAAAATCAATCCATGAATGGAGAACAGGAGCTTGAATGAAGAGTCTGCCTCCTCTAGTCATGGATTATTTTTCATTCATAGAACCTAAAGTACAGCTTTTATGAATAAGGGCAGTGGGCTGTGTAGCAATCGTACCCACAGAGATGGACGCGGTTCAACCATTTTGCTCCAACCTCCATCTTGGCAAAGGATCATCCATCTTGTACAAACATATCTTTCCTCATCTTCCCCCCTCTCTGAGATCCACAGTAACATGTGGTTGGTGTGTGTTGTAAGTGTCACAGGTCAGCCAAAGCACAGTAGGGAGCTCCGAGCTATAAAACCTCTCTGAGCTGGGTGCTGGGCAGTCTAAGAAACTGTGCAATCTGGCACCTCATAAAAGGATAACCCAAGCCTTCCCCTGAGTTCAAAGACATTCCAGGGGAGTCATAAACTCGATACCACTTTTAAAATCCATTTTCCCCCTATGTCTCATATCTTGGAATATGAGAGACTTACATAAAAACACAGGAATATCTTCAGATTGCTCACGAGAAGAGAAACCGTTTGATATGTCACACTCCTTGGCTGAAATGTATAGGAAAGCAGAAAATTACATCTCTTGAACCATTCAAAGTATGTATTTCATATCTAACCATTCCGTAGATGAGTTTGCATATTAATCTACCTGCGGGTGGAATGTTACTTGTGCCTAGGAAAAGTTATGAGCCGAAATATAAGCTATGAGAGATTTTGGTTCTAGCTTGGGTCTCCGCCTAGACACACCTCCCCAAATGAGGCATTGGTGCTTGGCTTCAGAGACACACCCTGCTGGGGGACAACAAAATAGGCTGTCAGGCCTAAGAGTGGAAGTTAAAGAAATCTCCCTTTTAACATCAGAACCAACTTGGGAGACGGTGCCCTTTTTGTTCTGAAACTTGATCTGCTTAACCCAGGACTTTTGGCAAGTACTCTACCTCTCTAAACTTCTTTCTGTTACCTTTTTGCTGTGTTATTGCTCTCTGTATTTATATATATATATATATATATATATATATATTTATATATATATATATATATATTGGTTACATCTTTTTTCTGTAAATATTTTTATTGCACCCTTTTGACCTTTTAGTAATAAATCTTTCTTTCTGGAAGTGTTGAACTGTTTCTAAAGCTCCTTAATGCAACTTACGAATTCCTGCCGCTGAAGAGCGCTACTCTGTGTGTTTAACCCTCTGTATAACCTGTCTGCGGTGATAGTAGTATAAAGACGATTATCCAATCATCCTAGTGTTATTGCTGATATTGCCGAGTTTCCGCTTTCTCTGTACAAAAAGGAGGTGGTGGCAGTGTGAAGGGTTAATTGTGTAATTAACCTGATACAGTAACAATCGCACTCAGGCTGCTGGTACATCGATTTGTGGTCCATTAGCTGGAAAATCGTTGTGCAGGGATGCAGCTGGGCGTGGCATTGAGAAGGTCAGGGGTCTGACGCTGCGATCGTCACAGGCGGGTATAATGGGAACTCTTGATGAGTGCAAAGAACAGGTCCCTCAGCTCTACTAACGCCATGATCTTTCAGCTATCGAGGCATGCGGGGGGTGGGGGAGTCGTGATTGGAATCAGACAAGGAAGATTTCAACTAAACCTAGAGACAGAAGCACAAGGGCCATGTCAAATTGATTGTAAGTCATGTCCCTTGTGCTCTTATTTATATATATATATATATATATATATATATATATATATATATATATATATATATATATATATATATATATATTTTTACTAAACTTAGGCTTTAAAAACAATGCATCTGTTTCTTGAGATTTTATCTCCATCTTTTTGAACAAAGAGACTAACAACCCTGTCGCTATACAAAATGTTCTCAGTGAAGGCATCTATATAAAAGAAAAGGGTACATAATAGTTACTCCCACTGCCTTTTGCTACTTAAAGGATGAGTTCACCTTTCGTAACATGTTACATGTTACACCCATATTTAGGGTCCATCCTCCGCACCCAGTCAATCCCCGTTGCGACAGCTAGCAGGGGATTTTCTCCCCCCTGTTAGCTGTCAATTTAAAAAAATAATACACGGCCGTGGACTCCACCCTCCCGGCCGCATCACTCATTCACCGTTATTCTGTGAATGAGAACACTACAAGTTCCAACACCCTTTACAGCTGCCGACTTGTAGTTCTCAATGAACTACCATGGAGCATGTGGAGCACCATGGTAGTTCATTGAGTCTTCCTGCCAGTAAGTATCTGCTTGCCCGTATGTCTTGATCGCTGATGCAATGCTTTAGAGCAAGGGTCTCCAAACTTTCCAAACAAAGGGCCAGTTTACTGTCCTTAAGACTTTAGGAGGGCTGGATTGTGGCCAGCGGGGGGGGTAGAAAAAGTCTCAGGCCCAACATTGGTGAGAGTAAAGGTCTCAGGTATGGTGTTCAGTTGCATAGTGCCTGTGGTCAGTAGGAGGAGGAGTAGTGCCCCATCATTGCTATCACTGGAAGGAATATAGGCCCATCGTTGATGTTAGTGGATGGAATAGGGCCCCATCATTGATATTAGTGGGAGGAATAGTGTCCCATTGCTGGTGTCAGTTGGGGGAATTATGCCCCACTTTTGGTGTCGGTGTTAGGAATAGTGCCCCAAGGGCCAGATAAAGGCTAGCAAAGGGCCACAGGTTGGAAACCACTGCTTTAGAGGCTCCAGAAACAAAAAAAATGCACATTTTTTTAACTGAAAAAAAATGTGCATTTATTTATTTAGTTTTTAAAGGTCAACTTATCCCTTAACCCCTAAACTACATGATTCTGTGAAATGGCCCCCTGAAGTCTGTGTGGAAACAAGTACTTTTTGGAGTGTTGATCTGAATTCTCTGAAGTTCTTACTGATCCCTTCTACTGAACTCCATATCACTGCTGTCTCTAATGATAATGGAGGTTAGAAGGTGAAAGCATTGAGAGCTGTGGGGGGACCCAGGAGATTGATACTCTTTGAAGTATCAGTTTCCCAGTGTATTTCTGGTGGCCAATTCTCAAGATCAGAGCAGAATTCAGTGGCACAGGCAGCAGGAAAAGTGAGTATATACTGTATACCCTGTACTCTTAAAAAGAGGATGACACTCTAAAGAGCATCTTTATCAAAAAACTTCTCAGATTTGCTAGCAACACTTGTGCGAATGTGTTGTTGGTGAACATTGCAAGTACAGTAACTGTTTTTTGGGTTTTTTTTTTCATGTTCAAATTTTTTTATTTAGAAAACTAATGCTAAAGAATAGTTATAATAGCAGTCAAACCATATGGCTTTGGTACATCATTTCAAGTAACCATTTTATTTCAAAAAGTGCTATAATTACAATTCATATTGGAACACTGGCTCCTGTATATTCCAGCAACATAACAAACCAAGAGTTGCAAGAGAGTAGCTGATTTTTTTAAAGCAGCAAAGCTAATACCAGAAAATGTAAGTTAGTGAGCGCAATCCATAAAAAAGGAACCACAAAAACCTTTCTAATAAAATCACAAAAACAAGAAGTGCAGCGCTATATAAAATTAAACCTTAATTGCAGAAAAATAAAATTGAGAATGAAAATGAAAATAAGTCCACTGGAATCCGTATTTTGATATTACAGTGGACTTATTTTCATTTTCATTCTCAATTTTATTTTTCTGCAATTAAGGTTTAATTTTATATAAAGCTAATACCAGCAAACGTAGTACAAGGCTTAACCTGCTTTTTTTTTTTTTTTTTTTTTTTTTTTTTTTTTTATTCCCCAACAATTCAGTCCATGGATGATTGTGAGGGCAGATAGATTACACATATTGCCCCTTAACCCCCCAACCCCCATACTGGTATTTTTTCCTAGGCACCAAAGAGCCCAGTGTCCATCATCAACAGCTATAGGTGTTTTTGGAGAGATACCCCATTTTTCAGTCCCTTCTTATAAAATTATCAGGTATAGGTGTATTGGGAGTTATACTTTTTTTCAGGTTTCCTCTTAAAGCATTCTCTAAATAATAAGGGACATGTAGATTTGCATAGCTGTTGGCTGCATGCTTGC